CTGATAACAGAGAGTGCAACATAGCCACAAGCAGGGGAAAAGAAAGATGTGACCTTGAGGAAGAGAGGAGAAAATGAAAGCATAGAGGATGAGTACAGAATGATGAGTGATGGGGTAAGGATGGCTGAGAGCAGACATACAGATTTAGGGAAGATGTAGTGAGTTGAATAAAGGCTGAGTCAGTCTTCATTAGGGCCTGAGCACCAATGGTGCGAAGACCCTCTTGGAATTGCTCTGTTTATTTTTCTTCTTCTTCTTCTCCAAAGTGAATCGCATTTTTGAGGGCCATAAACAACGCTCGAAAACTCGCAAAACTTTGCACACACATCAGAACTGGCGAAAATGTACATCTGATATGGGTTTCAGAATTGGGCATGTCAAAATGGCTTAATAGCGCTATAAAATTTCAACAAAACAACCCTCCCACTACATTTCACACTATATGTAATGTCCCAAAACCTACAAAAAAGTTTCTTGGAGCGAAGTACTAAACGCAACTGGAAGTCAGCCATTTTTAAATTTCCTCTACAATTTTTGTGCAGTTTTTGTAATTTTCAGACCTCATACTTTAACAAATTCCTCCTACAGTTTTTATCGGATCATCTTCAAATTTGGTGAGTGTAATCATAAGGCCTTTGCCATGCTAAATTGTGAAGATCTTGAGTTTTCGTTGAAGGGGTTGTCCCTGGTAGCCTGACAAATGTTTTGCCGTGAAACAGGAAGTTGCTGTAACTCAGGCAAGCAATATCCAGTCTGCCCCAAACTTCACACGTTTGATAGGAGTTCTGTCCTGAACACATGTCCATGCTCATATTCAGATATAGTCATAGCGCCACCTGCTAGCAACAGGAAGTGACATGTTTAACACTGTTATGGACTCCTAGAAACATATTAAAAAGAATCAGTAAGTGTTAAATAGGCTAGCAACATACTAGAAACATTTTAAAACATGCTAGCAACACTTAGCTAAGTGCTAAAGCATGCTATTAATGCAATTAAACAGGAAGTTGTAACTCAGGCATGCAGTGTCCAATCTGCCCCAAACTCACCAAACTTAACATGCAACATGCTAGAAACATGGTAAAGCATGCTAGCAACACTTAGCTAATTTGCTAAAGCATGCTATTAATACAATGAAACAGGATGTTGCTGTAACTCAGGCATGCAATGTCCTGAACACATCTAAATGCCAATATTCAGTTATAGTCATAGCGCCACCTACTGTCAACAGGAAGTGACAGTACTATTAGCTGGAATGATGCACTATTAGCAACACACTCAAATAAGCCATTGAGCGCTAAACATGCTAGAAATGTGCTCAAACATGCTAGCAATACTTACTAAGTGCTAAAGCATGCTATCAATGCCTTAAAACAGGAAGTTGTTGTAACTCATGCATACATTGTCCAATCTGCCTCAAATTTCACATATTTGATAAGAGTCCTGGCCTGAAGACATCTAAAGGCTAATATTCGGTTATAGTCATAGCACCACCAGCTGGCAGCAGGAAGTTTGGCACATATAAATGACTTTGACATATTCCTTCTATATTTACCACTTTAAATGCATGTTGCCCACCGTTCACTGTTTTCTTAAGGCCACCGGGGTGGAGGTGGTTCCGGGTGCGAGGGCCCTTTCAACGCTGCTTGCAGCTTTAATTGTTATTTATGTTTGTATATGATACTACCATAGATGACTTTCTGATGTACAGTATTAAGGACATCAAAATGCTACATTTTTAGGATCATGATCTTGAAATAGCAGTTTTATTTGAAAATTTCTTTGAGTATACAAGAAATAGTGCGACCTGTGTCAACAATGACAACTAGGACGTAAAGTTGCTTCAGTCAATTGAGAGTGAGAGCATTTTCTGAACACTAAAACTTCAAGGACTGATCCTTCAACTCATATAAAATATGGAAAACTAGTATACAAAACCACTTGACATTAGGTTAAACTCTCAGATAAATCTAGAAATATTTCAAACATTGTATCCTGTTTCACACGGGGGGGGGGGGGGGAATTAATGGTGAATTTAGAGACTACAGGTATCATATATTATCATTGGAACACAATGTTCTTTATTGGTGAGCAACATTCACAAGGATTGCATAACTCAGAAAAAATGCATTCACAAGCAAAAGATCAAACTTAAGCTGATACAAAACTTACAGTATGACTCATTTCTAAGCTACCAATGGAGATGCAAAATTTATAAGTGTTACAAATGCTGAAAATAAAAGTATTAAGGCCCATTCTTACCAAGACTGCTAAATAAAAAGATAACTGTATCGATAGCTATATTAGCTCCACACTAACGCACAATAATGTTCTGTTTATGTTATTTTATTTCTTTCAGTCTGCAGCTTTAAATTCTTTGGCTTTATAACATTTGGTAAATTCTGATTGCCTGTCAAAGTTTTTATCATTCAACAGCTCGAAAGATTGTTTGAAAGTGATTCCAATGAAAATGTTCCTCTGTCATTAACATTATAGTTGTGGTATGACTTTCCTATTCTCATAGAATTACAATGATTATTGATACAGGGTGCATTATTGACCTAAATGCCCCTAGAAATGGTACCTAAATTTACTCACCTTCAACATTGAGGGCCAAACAACATCGGACCGCAGTGACTTTCATTATTTGGACCAACAAAAAAAAACAGGCATTTTTCAAAATACCAACTTTTGTGTTCTGCAGTTATACATATTTGAAATTACATGATGGTGAGAAAATTATGACAGAATTTTCTATCACTTTAAGGGTACATATTAGTAGCCTGACCTACTTAGCTTCTAACGGTTTAGAATACAGAGGTGTACTTTTAAGGGTACTGCCCCAGTGACAGGCAACATTTTTGCTGATGTTTTTTGTTTTGTTTTTAAGTGCTTGCTTTAGTGTGTTGCTGTGTGTTGGCTATGTGGGCAGTGCACATAAATCGGCCATTATAGCAGCGAAATATGAGAGAGCCAAGCTGTCTTAACACAGGAAACCACAGGCAGAGGGAGTCTCTGTGATTAAGCAGAGGACCAGAGCAGGTGTGAAGGTCTCGGTGCAGGAGGAAACAGACTACAGACTGGCTATATTCGCGTGCATGGGTTTATGGGTTTGACCTTTTGATGCATGTGTAAATGGTGCAGATGCAGTTCTCGGCCATTCATCAGACCTATTTTTTTCTCACTTATAGCAGGGAGTAATGAGGTTAGTCTTTTTTTTTTCGTAGAAGATTCTCATCAATTTTATAGCAGCACAGAGTGAAATCAGCCCAACCAAATGCTTTAACTTACTCTTTATCTGTATGAGCCTCTTGTAAACTACCACAGTGAAAGGTTATGTTGAGGGTGAGGAAGAGATGAGAGATAAGAGTGAGTTTCAGTTGCTTTTTTCTTTCAGAGGAGAGATTTGATTGAGATATTTTGCTCAACACTTCCTTGGTCCATCAGCTAGACCAGTACTAGCCAATAAAATCTAGAGTGTTTGGAAATTCATGCTGGTCTAAGATCTTTCCAGCAGGGTAGAACACAGAAACCTGTCTCCTCCACAAATATGCAGTGAGTCAGCCATGGATAATATAATATGATGATACACAGACACACTCACACTCACATACAGACAGGCTGTCAAATGGAATGGCCATTATCCAGCACAAAAAAAAATCTGCAGCTGTGAGCACAGGATGTGACAGATACATAGCTAAGTGAATCCAACAGAGTCATTTTCTGCAATTTCTGTCAAAAGACAAGAGACCCAAAAGAAAGAGCTTTTCTCTGATACAAGCTGGTGTGTTTATTTACTACTTTGTGTGTTTTTGTGTCTTATGTGTCAGTCTGGCTGGAAACACTGCGGTGTTAAGAGCTTTGTGTGAGCTTGAAACTGTGAGTCTCGTTTTCAGCAGAAGTGAAAACAACAGGTTTATGACTGTATGCTAACCACAGCCTGTAATGCAGAAATTAATTTGTCACACTACAATTAGCCATGACTTCCTTCTTCTTTGTTGTGTTGCACTCGACTTAGCAACTACAGCTCTGTCTCATTTGATTAAAGCTGGTGTTTAGCACTGACATGTCCCTCTGATTGTATAGTTTGTTTCATGGGGAACTGAAAGTTACTGTATTCCACTGTTACTGCATGATATATGCAGGTGCGTGACTTTTGCGCTCAGCTAATTCAAACTTTTTTCACAGCAAACATAAAGCATATTTTGCATGTGCTGCTTGTGCATGGGTTCCTGTTTCTTTTTTCTCTAGGGTTATCGTACATTGCAATACTAATAAAAGAAGCACAACAGAGCAGTGTGTTTATTGTAAGCCAGTCAGCAAGTCTTCTGACTGAACATAAAAAAGCCCCATGTTTACGGTGGCCGAGAGAGCTCAACGCGCTGCAACTTAAGAAAACACATGCAAATTGAAAAAACACCAGCAAATTAAGAAAACATCTTCATCAGTTTGACAACACAGGTTTCTTCATTTGCATGTGTTGTGAGGATTTGCAGCGCGTTTCTTCATTTGCATGTGTTGTGAGGATTTGCAGCGTTTCTTCATTTGCATGTGTTGTGAGGATTTGCAGCGTTTCTTCATTTGCATGTGTTGTGAGGATTTGCAGCGGGTGTGTTGTCAAACTGATGAAGATGTTTTCTTAATTTGCTGGTGTTTTTTCAATTTGCATGTGTTTTCTTAAGTTGCAGCGCGTTGAGCTCTCTCGGCCACCGTACATACGTACCTGTTGTATGTTTTAGTTGATTATTTTTCGGTTTTCTATTTGAGCAATCTGCTTAAGCTTTTCAGAAGCTTCAGTGGACGTGCCATAAAGGGATAGTTCACCTAAAAGTGGTTATTCTGTCGTCATTTACTTAGCGTCATGTCATTCCATACCTGACATTTTTAAACAGAAAAAAAGTGAAGACTCATTTGTAATGGTCTATCGCTGCATCAAAATTATTTTTATATTTTATATATTTCAGGCCATTTTTACATCTCAGAGTTTGTTTTCTTCACAGAGGAGGAAAGGAGAGTCCGGGCCAACGATAGAGAGTACAATGAGAAGTTCCAGTATGCTGTAAGGCACACATATAACGTCATACATCATGAATTTACTTATAAATTAAGTGTACAGTTTTATTCTGCCTCTCCTTCACCTCTCCCCATCATCTCTTTCACTGTCCACAGAGCAACTGCATCATGACCTCAAAGTACAACAACATTACCTTCCTTCCAGTCAACTTGTTTGAGCAGTTCCAGGAAGTTGCCAATACCTACTTCCTGTTTCTCCTCATACTGCAGGTATATACTTCGAATTAATTCTTACTTCAAATGATTATTACAAGTGTAGAGAAAAAAACAAGTTATTTTGTAAACATCAAAGCATGGCTGTGACTATGACAATATTCATCCTGGCCTAAAGGTTGCAGTTGGCGAGAACATGCATGCCACAATCATTTTGACAGATTGTTTGAACGTGTGCACATTAATTACTATGACAAGTTGGTGCATTACTATGTTATACAAATGGCTTTAAAAATGTTTGTAATCGTGTGTATGTTTTTGTCTCAGTTGATTCCACAGATTTCCTCATTATCCTGGTTCACTACCATTGTGCCTTTAGTGCTGGTGCTGAGCATCACTGCAGTCAAAGATGCCACCGATGACTATGTGAGTCTCACACGCACACATTCTGTAACTTACTGTAACTGACAAACTCCTTTATACCAGTGACCTATCACACCACAACTGCCACACGAAAAAACAGTAACAAAAGTAACAGACTCACACACATCTCTGTTCATCTCACAGTTTCGTCACAAGAGTGACAACCAGGTGAATAACCGTCAGTCTCAGGTCCTCATCGGTGGCATGTGAGTCTCATATTAATATACACACTTCCTTTTACATTCTGTTTGCAAGAAAACATCTGCTGTTTACAAGAAATATAAATGTGTCCGAGCTGTTGCTTGCAAGATAGTGAATGTTCATAACATAAAAGCATATATATATATACAGTATATATCTATATATTTAAAATGAATATGTAATATACATTTTAATTGTAATTTGTAAATTAATATTACATTTATTTATAAAAAAAAATATAATATACACTATACACTTTAGAGCACTTTTTAATCATCGTATAGCAATTTTCCAACAATCACAACGCATTAATAAGTATCCTATACTTTTTTTTTCACTTTCTCAGTCTTCAGAAGGAGAACTGGATGAATGTCAGAGTGGGTGACATCATCAAGCTGGAGAACAATCAGTTTGTGGCAGTGAGTTTTCCTCTGTAGTTCTTCATGACATTAATGAATTAATTAAACGTGGTTTAATAAAATAAAAAGACACTTTACTAGCTCAGCAGTCACAGACATTACTTGCAGTAATTCACGGTCATGTACGCACCAATCTCTGATGCATTTGCTCTCGAATACTGCTCTGTGAAATTGATCCAGTAGCCAAGCTTATTCGCTGATTATGCCTCTGGTTACTCTGTCTCTCAAGGATAAACAGCAGCTTATGTGTCTCTAGTCTGTATACCAGTGTTATTTTAATATTATTTAGATACTATTATAGTTTCTATTTTTCTTAATATTTTGAATAGCTTTTCTTTTTGTACTTTCAGATTTCATTTAAATTTTAGTTACATTTTTAGTAATTTTTCTGTGCTTTTATCATTTTTTTTTAGGTTTATTTCTTTTAAAATATTACTATTTAAATACATTTTAATTTCAGTTTTGGTTTTATTTATTTTATTTTCAGTTAGTAATTTTAGTGCTTCAACTTAAACTAAACAAAAATGAGTTTTTCACCCTTAATATTTATATTTTGTTTTATTTCAGCTTTATTTGAATGAAAAATGTTTTAATAGTTTTAGTTAATAATAACACTGCTGTATACTGTATATGTGTTACAGGCTGACCTGCTCTTGTTGTCCAGCAGTGAACCACATGGCCTCTGTTACATTGAAACTGCAGAACTGGATGGGTATGCCTGTGTTTATTTCCTGAATTTGCTGTTTAACATGATTTAGTGATTCCAGTGCAGCTCAATACAATGTCGTTATTTTTCTGCCACAGCGAAACGAACATGAAGGTGCGTCAGTCTCTGTCGGTTACCTCAGAGCTGGGAGATCCTAATAACCTGGCCCAGTTTGATGGTATGTGATTTTGAACGCACTCCAGTTAGATGTGAAAGTTAGCCAAAGTGGAAATGAGAAAGTGCATTAGTAAGAAAAAGAGACAGCTGACCAATCTTGTGAACTGATAAATGAGAGAATATGTTTGTTTACAGTGTGTTTCAGATTTGCAGAAGTTTATGGAACAAAAATAGAAAGGCAATAAAAGGAATTGCGTATTTTCAGTGAAGGCATTCTAGTATGAATTGCACTTACTGACAACCACTGTTTATTTGCATATTTTAGTACAGATTCACTAAAGGAATTATGAAAAGTAGGTTACAGCACAAACTCGTCCAAAAAAAACCTGTGCTAAATACAATAAAATGTATAATTGAATACATTAAATGTATAATTAAATAAAATTATAAATACAATTTTTGACATTTCTAAAAACAAAATTACATCATTTAAGTATGCATGATAGAGTACTATACCAGCGCAGAATAACGTCAGAATAAATTCAATGATGGGCTAGTGAATAGATGCACTAAAAATGCAAAAGTGCAACAACTGTTTGACCCTACTATGAGTTAGTTTACTAAAGAGAGAGAGAACCAAAGATGCAGTCAAAGTGTGCGGAAAGTAATGTATGTGGTGGACAGTTTCTCAGCAACATTACTTTAACACCCAACACAATATACTGCCACACACACCATCAAACCTGTGTCAGCACAGACCACCCACGCTTCCTGTTTTTAAAGAACAACAAAAAAAGCTCACAAGTTGTACAGAGACCCAGGATGCTGAATAGTTGGTCATAACATCTATTACATAAAATGGTACTGTTTCAATGTTTTCAATATGTGTGACCTCCTTTTTCCTCCTGTATCTCTCGCGCTGTGTATGTGCAGGAGAAGTGGTGTGTGAGCCTCCCAACAACAAGCTTGACCGTTTCTGCGGGACTCTGTATTGGAAAGACTGTAAATACCTCCTCAGCAACCAGAACATGCTGCTTCGCGGCTGTGTACTGCGCAACACAGAGAGCTGCTATGGCCTTGTTATTTTCGCAGGTTGGTGTGTGTGTGTGTGTGTGTGTGTGTTTGTGTGATTAGTTTTCAGTTTAACCTGTCATAATTATGATGGTGCACTACAGGTCCTGACACCAAACTGATGCAGAACAGCGGACGGACCAAGTTCAAGCGGACCAGTATAGACAGACTGATGAATACACTCGTGCTGTGGGTGAGAAACTGTTTACAAACACACACTCGTTTACAAACCTCTGCTGAATTTCTGAAGATTTGGGTACTGAAATAAATAAACAGCATAAACTCTGCAAAGTAATGTTTGGCTGTAAATAAATAGGCATACAATTCAAGATCTTAAATTAGTCCAAATTAGTTTTGTAATTTTCCCCTCCTCAGATTTTTGGGTTCCTGGTGTGTATGGGAGTAATCTTGGCCATAGGAAATGCAGTTTGGGAAAAAGAAGTGGGTGCTCTGTTCCAGAGCTTCCTTCCCTGGGACCCACCAGTGGACAACTTCTTGTTCTCAGCCTTCCTGTCTTTCTGGTCCTATGTCATCATCCTCAACACAGTCGTGCCCATCTCCCTCTATGTCAGGTGAGAGAGAGCAAGATGAGGAGAGATAAACGTTGTAACGCAGGAAGAAAGATTAATTATCCCATGAAAACTGTTCAGTTGGCACTGACCATGAATATGATAAAATTGAAAATATAGAAAATGGTCTGAAACGCTAAACATTAAAAAAAATCATGTTTTGAACATAAATTTAACATTTATATAAGCTGTTTTATTTCCTATTTATTTTATATGAAGCTTGTCAGCTATGTTATCCAATTTAGGATATTTTTGCTTTTTTTTTTTCATTTCTAGGGATAAACAATGCTAAGCATTACATTTTTAGTCATTCAAAAAAAAAATGTACTACAATTATTCGAATAGTTTAACTGTTTTTGTTCTATTAGGGTTATTATCAATAACTTAAACTATTAAAAATATTTTGTTAACTGAAATAAAGAAAAAAATATTAATATTAGATGGAAAACTGAAACTAGGCATACATTTGAAATGTTGCCTTATCAGCTAAATGAAATAAGGTTAAGCTGAAGCATTAAAATTCCTAACTGGAAAAAATCAAAACCAAAACCAAACTAAAACATGAAATAAATGCAGTAAATTAAATCTGAATAATAATAATAATAAAAAAAAACAGCAACGAAATTGCACAAAATTAAACTAATAAAATAAGTAACACATAAAAAAAGCACATAAAATAAATGCTAACTCAAAACGTTAATAAAACCTATAATAGTATAATAATAATAATAATAAATAATACTAAAATAACAAACATTGTATAATTTTAGTTCCTGGATACTGTTTTTATTTGCTGGATACTAGAAGGTCAAGACCTCTGTGACTGGCCAAAATCAGAATTTTAAGGGGGGATATAAACATTTGATATGTTTAGGACTAGCTACTTTTGATGTTAGGTTTTTTTTTTTTGATAATAGTTTATCTAATGCTCCATCTCTTAAAAAGTCTTGAGACACCAAAGTGTATCATATTCATTAAAAACTCCAGTTAAAATCTACTTCTCCTCTTTGATTTAGATACTTTTTTTAAAGTTCTAGCTTAAGTTAATTTTATGCTTGATATTGTGCTTTTTATTTTATTTTGATGTATTTTGTTGTTTTCATGTTTCTTCAGACTTTTCCAGGTAAGAGATAGACCCCATAGACTCCCCTTTTTTCTCTCTCTGACATAACAACAACCTCCCATATAACATAATCCATATAACACCACTAAAATCCTGACCGAACCTTTCTGAACCAGCTCTCTGAATGAGCTCTAACTCTGCTGTGTGGTCCAGTGAATATAACCCCCCTCTGACTGGTACAGACTCGTACATTAAGAACTGCTGCATGGCACTGAGCAGCACCATGGCACAGCACACACATACCCAAACTCCAATTTTAATGACAGTCTTAAATGACAGATTCGTGAAGTCTCTATAAATGAACAGTATTACATCTTGCTTTTAATGGTCTGGTAGACTGTTATGCCATTGTCTCTTTCAGCTGCATCCTAAATAGCCTATGTCTTTATAACAGGAAAACTGTGTGTATTTTTGTGTGTCTGTTTTGTTGTGTTTGCCTTGTGGTCAGAGGGCTGCAGTCAATTTAAGTGTTTCTACTGAAAAGCAGGTCATATTTGCATTTTGATAACCCTCCGTCTGTTTCTCTTTCCATCTGTCTGAATCTCTTAGTGTGGAGGTGATTCGCTGAAGCTGTTGACTTTAATATCGTTAGAAGGAAATGATACAGTAATTCTGGATTGTAATATGATTATTTTATCTCATTATCTGTCCTCCTTCATGTTGTGCTTCTTGCTTATTGCCTCTCTTGTCTTTCACTTCCTGAAGGAGAGCTGCTGTATAAGGCTCAGTCTCCAGATGAGGGGGCGTTAGTAACAGCTGCACGTAACTTTGGTTTTGTGTTCCGCTCTCGCACACCCGGCACAGTCACCACACAAGAGCTCGGCAAAGCGGTCACATACACGCTCCTCGCCATCCTGGACTTCAATAATATCCGCAAAAGAATGTCTGTCATAGGTAACACAAGCACACACTCTCATTCCTGCAACTGACATAACAAAAACATTTGACTATATTTGTAAAAAAAAAGCACAATATGCAATATGTCACAAAAATGAGAACACCTCCACATTAAATCTTTTTTTTTTCAAAAGTAAAGTTTTGTCAGATTGATTCACTTTTGAGCCCAAACTATAGCTAAGTACATACACACACACATTTTTTGTGCAGTGAACAGTGGCAAACTCCAAAGTGTATAGTTTTTAAACATTATTTTGGCTGTAATGCCAGATGGTTTAGCACTGTGCAAAAGAGAAAGAGACAGTAAAATTCCCTTAGGACTGAGAAATCTGGATACAGCAAAAATACTGCCCTGCCAAGCATCATAAATAAGTGGAACATTAGCGCTAAATTCAATACAGAAAGTGTTGTGTGTGTCATATACACTCTCATAATGCTGAATTATGGCCCTTATATTCGGGCAAGTGGTGCTTACATTGCAGCAGCCATTTCATTTTTGTTTGCATATTGTCATTTATGTCCAGTTGGTTTGTGTTTACATATAGAGAAGTGAGAGAGAGTTATTGAGTGCACTGCAGAATTTTCTCTCTATCAGTTTTGTTAATAATTTTTCCCCATAACAATATCCAAAATATCTTAAAACTAAGATCATTTGTTTTATGATTTATAAAACCTTGTTAGTTTTTGCCAAATGGGTAAGAAACAAAGGTATAATTTAAGATACAGTACATTATATGAAAAGAAGTCCAATAATGTTAGGAATATGAGATAATGGGAGCTTCTCCCATCACTGCAGAGGCACAAGCACAATCTGTAATTTAATGTGTGTGTGTGCGTGTGTGTGTGCGTGTGTGTGTGCGTGTGTGTGTGTGTGTGTGTGTGTTTTAGTGAGGAATCCAGAGGGCCGTATTCGTCTGTACTGTAAGGGCGCAGACACTGTGCTTTTCGAGAGGCTTCACTCTTGCAACCATGAACTAATGATTATCACTTCAGAACATCTCAACGTGAGTGTTTGCTTTTTCGGATTTGTTTATTTTGTGTTTACTGTTAGCTTAGCTGTTTGTATGAAGTTCTAAATTGCTCTTTAAGAGAACCCACAGTCTGATGCTGCTGTCTTTATAAGACAAACAACAGAGCCCTCTTGTGGATGTTCTAGTAAATAAAGTCTGTTAGTTGTACTTTTACCTAATAACTAAACATTATATGGGACTTTTGTTGTGAAATAGTTATTTGTAGCAGTTAAACAAACATTTAGAATAATAAAATATAAATAAAAATACATGTAAATAAAATGTGGTTGCAAATGACAGGGTTGCAAAGGTAGCCTAATTTAAGATATCACTATGTAGGGGAGAAGATAACTACGAAGGTAAAAGGTTTGAGACCAAAACGTTTGTAGTATGAAGAAAAATATTTATTTAATAATTTTTCAAATAACAGGTTTGAATGGTTTCTCTTTGTGTAATAAAGAGAAAATAATGCTGTAAAATCAGGCACAGAAAGCCTGTATAATACTATTTTAATTATAAATATATTATTACATAATATTAATTACAAGTATATTATTATTTATAAAATTTTTAATACAGTGAATTAAGGGTCAAAACGATTGTTTGTTTGTTTGTTTGTTTAAAAAAAAAGTTTATGTTTCTATATGTTTCTTGAGAACCAAATCAGGATATTAGAGTGATTTCTGAAGAATCATGTGACAGTGAAGACTGGAGTAATGGCTGCTGAAAATTCAGCTTTACATCACAGGAATAAATTATGTTTTAAATTATATCGAAATGGAAAGCAGTTATTTTAAACTGTAATAATATTTCACAATATTACTGTTTTTACTGTTGCTGCCTTGAGTAACCATCATAGACTAGCAGCTTTTCATGCTAAGTTAAGTTTTTGTTTGATAATAGTTTATCTATCATATGTAATGGTTCTCAAAACAAAATAAAACAAAACATGAATAATTAAATTAAAAAGTGATGTTATCATGAGCTGATGTTGGGATATGTGTAGGAGTATGCAGGTGATGGCTTGCGGACACTTGCAGTGGCCTATCGGGATCTGTCTGAGGAGCAGTGGGAGGCGTGGGCAGAGCGTTTCCGCGGCGCTGATAAGGCCACAGACTGCAGAGACGACCGGCTGGCTGCAGCCTATGAAGAGATCGAACAGGACATGATGGTGTGTCTGTGTGTCTGATTCCTTTTGTTTTGTCTCCTTAGTCTTCTTGTTAATAATATGAAATATTTTATACTTGTTATAGCTGTTGGGGGCCACAGCTATAGAAGATAAATTGCAAGAGGGGGTTCCTGAGACCATTGCCATTCTCTCACTGGCTAACATCAAGATCTGGGTGCTTACTGGAGACAAACAGGGTAAGAACTGCATCAAAATCAAAAGTCATGCTGCTTGGCCACAACTGTTATCATTGACTTAACACAACTACAACTTTAAAGTGTATTTTTCTCCTTCTGTGACAGAGACTGCAGTGAATATTGGTTATTCCTGTAAGATGCTGACAGATAACATGACAGAGATCTTCATTGTTAATGGACACACTGTCCAAAGCGTACGTGAAGAGCTGAGGTACAATGCTGATGTTTCCATTCATCAAATTCATCAACCCATGAAGTATGAGCGATATAAGTCTTTCAGGAAAGGCCTTTTAATTTTCTCATCCTCTTATGTTTTTTTAGGAAAGCAAGAGAGCGAATGCTGGAGTCGGCACGCACCAGAGATGGAGGGAAGGAAGTTGAAGCTCAGGGATGGGGTGGTGCTTGTGCCTTTGGAAATGGATGTGGAGGTGGTGGTGCTGCTAACTGGATCCCTGATGAGAGTAAATGTTCGCCTCCTCAGGCGCCGCCCTCCTCCTCATTGGAGTCAATCAGTGGAGAGTTCGCCCTCATCATCAGCGGACACAGCTTGGTAGGTGGGAGAAGCATTCAGGAGCCTAACTGGAAGGAATTAGTTATGAATGTTAATGTTATTCATGCTCTTTGGTTTAGTTAAAGGGTTATGTTTAGTTAGTTCAGTGTTATTTTAGGATTATTATGAATTAGTATTTATTATTATTATTAATTAAATTACTATTTAATCCAGATGCCTTCAAAGGAGATACTGAAGATGATCGTAACCAATGTCCATCACATATGCAGATTGATATCTAAAAGTTTGTAATTTTTCTTATCCTCATTAACATTCAAATATTAAGATTGAATAAAATGGCAACAATAAAAACAACTAGGTTGGTTAGTTGTTTTCTTTAATAGTATATAAATATCGCTATCAGTTCATACTGCCGTTAACACTTTCTCTGACAAGTCGGTGCAATGAGACCTGTTTTCTGGTTTGGTCAGGTGACATTGTCATTTTGATTTGTTTTTAAAATTCTGTTTAGATCTATTTTTATTTCAGTTTTGATTTTAGTCATTTTAGTATTTCATCTTATTTCGGTTTGTTGCCAAGGCAACATTTCTAATTTTCGTTTTTTTTTACAATTAAATATAATTATATATATAATTTTTTTATATGTTATATGTAATTTTCTTATATTTCTATATGGTTTATATTATTTTCATATGTTATTTATTAAATATAATAATAATAATTATTATATAATTAATTATGTAATTGGTAATACCTTAGTTTAGGGACCAATTCTCCTCGTCGCTCCAACCGGGACAAGGCATCACAGTATGGTAGGGGCGTAACATTTCCGTCACACGCTTGAGGTATTCGGCCAATCACAACGCACTGGATAGCTGGCCAATCAGAGCACACCTCGCTTTTCAGACCGATGAGCTTTGTAAAAATCGATGCGTTTCTGAAAGGCGGGGCATAGAGGAGAAACAATGATGTACATGTAATCAATGTGTTTTTTTAACCTTAAACCGCATAAACACATTTCATTACATCAAATACACCAAATAATTTTTTAGCAACATAATATGACCCCTTTAAATCATTTTGGACTTAAACCCAAATCTATGGTTTTAGTCTAAGAATTATTTACATATTAGTTTATCTGTCTTAACCTACAATTGAACTTGACCAGCACTGAGACAGCTGATACCCAAGAACAGGGGTTTTCAAACTGGGCTCTAGGGACTAACTGGGGACCTGAAGTGGGTGGAAACATGAGGGGAAAAAATGAATGCAATGCATTTTTAGGGGTGTCAAAGTTAACGTGTTAACTTGAGGTATTCAGTATATTTAATGCAATAATTTTTTACACATTTAATGAATATGTATGTATGTGTGTATATATATATATATATATATATAATGTATTATGTGTTTCTCTCCTTCTGCAGCAGCTCACATTGGCGTGGGCATCAGCGGTCAGGAGGGGATTCAGGCTGTGCTGGCATCAGATTACTCCTTTTCCCAGTTTCGCTTCCTGCAGCGACTTCTGCTGGTGCATGGACGCTGGTCCTATCTGCGCATGTGCCGTTTTCTCTGTTACTTCTTCTACAAGAACTTTGCCTTCACTATGGTGCACTTCTGGTTCGGGTTCTTCTGTGGATTCTCAGCGCAGGTGGAAAATTTAGTCAGAGGCTCTAAAAAGTTTAGTTTAGTTTAGTTACAGGGACCACAAGTGTTGTGCCAGAGTTAGCTATAGAGCTAATTTGCATCTGCAGTCCCTGGGCAGGATGTTGTTACAAAATTACAATACTCCATTACAAACAATACAATACGTACAATATCACACTCCATATTGAAAAATCTGGTCAGTGATCACATATTTGATTTTCCATACTTTAAGCCATACTTTAAGTGTAGTTTTAAAAATACTGAATGTTGTACACTTTCTAATATAAACAAGTACTGAGGTACTGGTGTCACATGCATGAGGTGATGTCATAACCTTGGCTCAGTTTACTGTGATTCTTTCATTTAGACTGTCTACGACCAATACTTCATCACTCTCTACAATATCGTATACACATCCCTGCCTGTGTTGGCCATGGGCATCTTCGATCAGGTAAGATAAAGAAAACTCACCAAATACTGAATCATTTTTGTTTACCTTTTATACTCCTACCTCAATCCTTGTATATCTCAGGATGTTCCTGAACAGAGGAGTCTGGAGTATCCAAAGCTGTACGAGCCGGGTCAGCTGAACTTGCTATTTAACAAGCGAGAGTTCTTCATCTGCATCGCGCAGGGAATCTACACGTCTGTGGTTCTCTTCTTCATTCCGTATGGCGTTCTCTCTCATGCCACACAGAGCAATGGAGTCCCACTGGCAGACTATCAAACTTTTGCAGTAACTACAGCAACGGCCCTTGTCATCGTTGTCAGCGTCCAAGTGAGTCCAATATTAAACATTAGCATTTAAGTAGTGCTTGTTGATTTAGATACGGTTTGCGGTTATTTTGTTATTTTTCGTTTAAGGTTGTGTATACTAGTAGCAATGAATTTTAGAACGGTTTTGAATAGCCCAAGCTTTTTGCTAATTGTTTATAGATTGCTCTGGACACGGGTTATTGGACGGCTATAAATCACTTTTTTATATGGGGCTCTTTGGGTACCTACTTCACTATCCTCTTCGCTATGCACTCCAGCATTCTGTTCAATATCTTCCCCAAGCAGTTCCATTTCCTTGGTGAGTCAGCACTTTGGCCCAACTGTGTGGCTGCCATCTTAAACAGAAACCCACATTTGATAATGCCTTTATAGTATTTGTCGCAAGCACAACTTATCAGCTATAACATCTGGAAATGCAGACAGCATTACTCCATATTCAGGTTTTTAAAAATCTAAATAATGAAGAATGTTTAAGTATAGACTACCATTGAAAAGTTTGTGGTCAGTAAGATTTGTTTTCATTGTTTGAAGAAATCTGGTTCTTTTGTTCAGCAAAGACATTACAGCATTACAAAAAAATATATATTTCAAATAAATGCTGTTTGAACTTTCATCAAAAAATCATGAAAAAAAATCATGATTTCCACAAAAATAAATAATTATCAGCACAACTGGTCAATCTATTCAAACAATCTATTGAACACAGGAATACATTATATTTTAAAATATATTAAAATAGAAAATTAAGTCATCTAAAAAATGTATACACAAACTTTTAACATAAATAATGAAAATACAAGGAATAGTAAATATACCATAAATTTGGATTTTAAATTGTGTCATTTTAAATTATATCTTATTTGTATTTTATCTTGATCCAAATGTGTGCTACATAGTGGTATGAGTATGTGTGGCTTATTTTTGTTTTTGTGTGCATGCCATGTGTTTGTTAACCACAGGAAGTGCTCGAAACACACTCGGGCAGCCAGTGGTGTGGTTAACTATTGCTCTGGCTACCGTCATCTGCATTGCTCCAGTCCTTGCGTTCCGCTTTCTTAAACTGGACCTTAAACCTCAGCTCTCAGATACCGTAAGTGTGTGTGTGTGTGTCTCTCAGATACCTTAGTGTGTTTGTCCTAAATTGCACGCCATCTTTGAATTTGTTATTATCCATGTTCAATCAAACATTCAGTATCACACATTAAAAACGAGATTTAAAGAAAACTTAGACTTATATTAGACAAAACTTAGACAAAACAAGAATTGAGCAAATTTTCTAAGTGTGTTTCTTTGCGTGTTATATATATATATATATACTGTATATATGAGATAAGAGCCTTTATTTATATTCATTTATTTTAAATACATTTTAAATGTTTAAATGGTCCCAAGCATTGATCATTGAAATTTTGATTCTGATTGTTGGATAGTAATGGTTGGTTGATTATTGCATATTCTGATTCATAGCGTAGGTCATATTTGTTTCACATCAGTAAGTTTGACACATTTGTTAGTTTCTGGTTATCCCCTCACACTCATCCCCACCCTTTATTATTTTCTCACTGTCTTTCTGCAGGTGCGCTACACTCAACTTGTGCTGCAGAAAAAGCGGAAGCCTGGTGGGCGTGTGGGTCGTGGCGTGGGCGGTGCTGGAGTAGCCAGTGGCAGTGCTCTTGGTCGCTTTGGGCGAGGCAGATCTCGACGCTCTGGTTATGCGTTTGCGCATCAGGAGGGCTTCGGCGAGCTGATCACATCAGGAAAAAATATGCGCCTGAGCTCGCTGGCTCTCGCCACGTTCGCCTCTCGCCACAGCAGCAGTTGGATCGATACTCTTCGCAGGAAAAAACACGCAAACAGCACACATAACACCCCGCCCACCGGAGAAGACTGTGCTGCCTCCTCTCAAGGGCCACCCCTTTCCACGTCTTCCTCAGCAGCAGGCGAGGCAGGACAAGCATGTAATGAACCCGTCCTCACTCACAGCCCTGATGATATCGCTCTCAGTGTTATTAGGTGTCCAGAAAGAGAGGTTGGGGAAAGTAGTACACGAACTGTGCAGGTAAATCTGAAATCTGCTACATCTGAAAACAAGTTCAAGCACAAATTGTATACAGATAAACTGCATGCAAGTAAACATACACAAATATAGGTTGTTATACAACACTGGGCAGAGGGTTGATTCTGTAGGAGCACAAAAACTAATTTTGTGGATTGACATAAAAAGAACATTTCCCCCAAAGAGAAGAAATGGCAGGAAGCAGAACTATTAATAACATTTTCATTTCTCACTTGTGTACATAGTAGTGGTCTCAGTTCCCCAATAATTAGGAAAACCCTATTATTGCTTATATTGTTCTTTTTTCTGTAATGTATACATTAGTTCAAAAATTCACAGTCAGTTTAAAAAAGATATATTTATAGGTTTAGTCAACAAAAGTATTACATTGATCAAAAGTGACAGAAAAGACATTTATAAGACATTTCTATTTCAAATAAATGCTATTCTTTGAACTTTCATTCATCAAAGAATACTGAAAAGAAATGGATCACAGTTTCCATAAAAATAATTAAGTAGCACAAATCTGTTTTCAAAACTGATAATAATAAGCTTTGCCATCACAGGAATAAATTACATTTTAAAATATATTAAAATAGAAAACTGTTATTTTAAATTGTTAGAATATTTCACAATATTCTGTCTATACTGTATGTTTGATCAAATGAATGCAGCCTTGTTAACCATAAGAGACTCAAAATATTAAAAATAAATATCTTACAGCCCAGTTTTTTTAATAATTATTATTAATACACAATATAGGCAAGGCAAGTTTATTTATATAGCACATTTCATACACAATGGTAATTCAAAGTGCTTTACATAAAAGGAAGTAAAATAATCATAAAAAAACAATAAAACAGGGAACTTAACTTTTTTTTAAATGATTTAGAAATTGATTTAAAATGAATTTAAAACAGTTAAAAATAGAAAATGATTATACATAAAATACAGTGCAATCAGTTTGGACGTAGCACAGTAACACAGTAGCACAGTCAATAAATGCACAGCTAAACAGATGAGTTTTGAGTCTGCATTTAAATGTGGCTAATATTTTAGTACATCTGATCTCTTCTGGAAGCTGATTCCAACTGCGTGCGGCATATTAGCTAAAAGCGGACTCCCCTTGTTTTGTGTGAACCCTTGGTATTTCTAACTGACTCGATCCTAATGATCTGAGTGGTCTGTTAGGTTTATATTCAGTGAGCATATCTGCTTAACTGAAGAAAGTTCTGGCACATCCAACTGTTAATTTCATCAATGCATTGGCAGAGGGAGTTAATGGGGCTGTAGTCATTTGGAGATAAGGCTAGGTAAATCTGGGTGTCATCTGCATAGCTGTGATCTGGCAATTTGGTTCTTTCTTATTTTTTGACTTAGTGAGAGTATATACAGTCTAAACAGGAGTGGTGCAAGAATTGAGTCTTGTGGGACTCCGCATGTCATAGATGTCCACTTAGACTCATGCTCTCCTATACTCACATAATAACCTCTCCCTTCTAAGTATGACCTGAACCATTT